GATGGCAATATTTAGTGGAACAGACCTGGAATTGCACACCACCCTGATGGAACACGTTGGATGGGCAGAAACTATTGGTCTCTCCAGTATCTAGGCCTATGCGATTATGTTCAATATAAACCACTTTAAAAGAGATTTAAAATTAATTTAATTTATTTTGCATTTTCAATTAAAATTATATTCTGGTAGGAAGAGATTCTGAGTTTCATTATATACATTTCATTCTTGTTGTTCTCAAACACTGGAAACAGCTAATACATTTGTTGTTGTTTTTCCACAGTCCCTATCTTGCATTGAGTTCAGGTACATACTGTAAATTCTCAGAACTCCCTTGACCATTCAGACTTCTGCAATACATCTTTTGCATAACCCTTTCTAATTGTAGAATAGATTCATCGCTTGATTGGCAGATTCAGTCCATAAAAGGGATTGTCATTAATGAGGGCTTGTTTCTTTGATTATAAACAAGTTTTTAGTGTAGTTTTTCTTTTGTTTATCTTCCTGTTTTGCTCCTTTACTTCATAAAAAAAATTCTAATTCCTAATTTTTATTAGTCCTTTGCTCTACCTATCTGAATTGCTTCTCCAAAAGTTACTTAATTTCACCTCTGGCCTACAAATTGCTCCATTATGGAGATCAACATCCAGCCCTGAAAAGAAAAGAAAAAAATTTTCAGGCTGGATTCTTAAAATGCTACTGGAACGCCTTTGTTGCATCATTAGAAAATTGGTATTGATTTTGGATTAACTTTTTGTACTTGTGGTAGATACCCTTGAACATCAGCAAACTCACTTATGTGCAATATATGCTTTCATAGAAGTACATTATATATGCTGTAGATTAATGCACTAGTTGTTCTCTAATTTGTGGAATAACTATTTTTAATTCACAAGGACATTTATTTGCGCATGCAAATTTAGAAACCATGGGGAATCATCAGCTTAACAGGCACTCACATTTACAACTTATAGAGAAGACAGGTGTTGAAATACAAAATACTTGAAAATTCATTTTATAAGCAACAAGATGTTTTTCATTCTACAGAAAAGAAAAATGGCTTGATTTGTGTAACTGCCTCCTGCATGTGCTTTACCTGCATGAACTTACTTATTTTTAATATCATGATTTAAAAATAGAAAAATAGAGAAGGACAAATGTTTATAAAATATTAAATGGAAGGGAGGCTAGGATTGGGCAGATTCGATCATAGGCAATAAAGCTAAAGTTTATAACTTTTTCCCAGTTGCTGAAAAAATTTACTTTCAAGAGGCAAGTCTGTTGTCAAGAAGGTATTAAAAGAATGGGCTATTATGAAATATTCACACTATTTTTGAAGGAGAGGTAAAGGGATTTATAGGATGAAAAAAATATTTTAATTAAATTAAAATTTGTAAAGCTGCCCGATTTATAGCAACTCTGAATGATATGCAATAGAAGAACAAAATTAATACCAACTATAAAACAAAGATAGTGAATCATGGAGAAGGATTAAAAAGCAACACTCTCAACATGCAGCATTTTACCAGCCAACCAGCCAATTAAAAGTTTGAAGGAAGAGCCAATTTTCAAGGGCATATTTGAATGAGATGAGCCTAGGAGCATACCAATTTCTAGTAGGATATTACAATGCCATGTGCCACAAACAGAAAAGATGGTACTGTTTCTTTCTCTTTTTTTAATGTTTTATTACTTTTTAAGAATTACAATCTTTAGTGCTTAGTAAACAACATGTTGTCTGGGTTCAGATATTTAACATTAACTTCTTCAGTATAAATCTGTTCAGTACTACAATCCAGTATTTTTTCCCTGATCCTCCTTTCTTTCCCATATTTTTTTTTCCATTTTCCCCTCATTACACAGTTACAGTTTTTGGTACTATTGATGTATACAAAGTTAGATATAAGCATCTTCATCATATTTTACTGATATCATACAAATAACAATATCAATTCATAAATCAATAATATCAATTCATAAATCCATATCCTGTTTTTCGTGTTCTTATTAAGGTTTGATTTCCCATCAGTATTTGAAATATCTTTGTCAGTTATAATTTTCTCAATATTAATTACATTTATATAGCTAATAGTTTTATTCATACCAATCCTCCTCTTATTTTCATATTTCCCATATCCAAAAAAAGAAAGATTTTTTTTATTTTAGTTCTAAATCATATCTTTCATTATAAAAGTCTAATTATTTCTAAGGGTCATCCGTTCTTTTAATCTTATTCGAACAAGTATTTAAACATATAATGCCCCTTCTAAAAGGTCAAATCTTCTGTTTTTTAAAATCTGACTCTCGCTTTCTTTCTTTGCCAAGTAGCTTTCCAAGCCAGGGCAATTAGATCGCCCAGGAATTTACTTTCTATTTTTATGAAAATTGCTTGGCATGAGGAAGACAATGTAGATAGGATATTTGGGGGGGGAGGGGAATTCGACCCATTTATATTCCTTAAGCAACTCCTAGTTTCTTTCTCCCTCAATTTTTCTTTCATTCCCTTTCTCCCAAGTTGTGACATATAGAGCTATATTCCATTTTTAAAATCTCCTTCCTTGCCATCAGATGTATTTTGCAGACCTAAATGGTAAAGGGTCTTTTGCATTTTCATTGTTATGGCTAAGTCTTGCAAAACCGGAAGTTAAAGGTGGGACTGTTTCATTGATGGGATCCAAAGCATGCCAAGTCTACAAGACATAATGGCCATGAAAGGTTCTGAAGTTGATAACCCGCACTTTGAAATGCACCTGAAATGTACTAGTAACCAGTGTAGCTCACAAAGCAGCAATGTTACACAGTCACACTGTGGCATGGTTATAATTTCTTATGCCACTGCATTCTGCACAAGCTGCAGCTTCAAATGCTCATCAAGGGCAGCACACCGTAGAGTTCATTGCAATTGTCCATGTGCAAAGTGATGAAAGCATTAATAATTGTTTGGAGTGCCTTCTGATTTAAGATTTGGTGCAGGTGATACATACTATGAATCTGGGTGAAGGCCCTTCTGGCTACTACTGCCACCTACTTAAGTAGGAGCTGGGGGTCTAGGATAACCCCCAAATTCAACTAGGGAAGTGAGGCTTCAGTTACAAGTGGTCCAAGTACCCAAAGCCACTTGGTTGAGCTTGATTCTATTCCTTCTTATGCAGCCACCTGCTGGCCTGTATGAAAATTGCCCAAAATTATTGGCTCAACCAACGTCTTCTTAATGAGAGAAAAAAAATCACATTCTTCAATGACTCCGCTGGATGGCAACATCTGTGCATCAAGCAGCACAGATGTTGCCATCCAGTGGAAACACTGGTTCAGCAAAGTGAACCCAACCTTTGTTTCCTGAAGTCCAACTTAAGCAAAAAACCTCACATCTGGTTAACTCCAGAGCATAGCATCTGGAGCCAATAAAGCCTCCTTGATGGCAATCCACACTCCACCCTACTTTGGGCTTGCAGCTAGTGCCAAAATAAATGTGTTGAGCCTGGCAGAGATTCGGAATACATTTTATTTTGCAAAATGCTCTGGAGTCTGCAAAATTAGGGCTCACAGATTGACCACATACTCTAGAATCTCATGATATTTTTTTTAAAAAAGGTTATTTTGGACACAATCCAGAATAATATTTGTCCAGAAAGAGTGAATATTTTTTTTAATAGTCAGTCTTTCCTAATACTGACATAATGGGCTCACACCATCATATTCCTATTGATAATTAACATGTCCTATTGATAATTAACATGTCATATCTTGAGAGAAAATTACTCAGTTATGTACTCCATTGAGGCCTCTAATAATTACCCTTCTTGTCTGTATTTGACATAAGTAGATTCACCCTCCTCAAGTCAGCTACTGATTTTAAAAACTCGCGGAGAAAAATAAGGTGCCATTCCTGGATTTGATGAAATAGAAATAAAACTGAGTGGCATCAACATATTTATTGCACTGCATTATTATATCCAGAGCAACTTATCAACTTGCTATGTTTAACAGGAAAATGGAAATAAGCAGAACTGCTACAAAGTGATGCAACTTAGCAAAAGAAAGGCTTCCACAATCAGTGGTATCACAGCACTAATCCAGCAAAACTAAAGGAACCACACACATTATGTTTTTCCCAGTGCAGGTATCAGCATAGCACCTATGGCTAAAAAGGGGAAAAAATGATTTGAATCTTGATAATCTGTCCATTTGAAACACTGTGAACTTGTGCTCAAAGCTGCATGCCTATACTGTACATACCACAGCAGGTTTCTTAGACAACATCACTGCATAGAAACATTTTCTCAGTAGACCGATCATTTATATTAATATAATTCTTTATATTTTAGACTACGATTTGGTTCTAAAAGGATGCTTTTTTAATCAAGGAAGAGACAAACAACCTAACCTCAAATGTGTTCTCCAGCTAAAGTGAAGTTTTTTTTAACAAAGAATAAATAATCCCCTTGCTGTGGATGTGCTAATTGTGGGAATTATAGCAGGCATAGAAGGGGAAATGAGTCCTTTTGTGTTTTTAATGAAAAATATATTCCAGAAGAGGAGTTTTATTTAGTTCTGCATCAGAAGGGAAGAATATATTATTCCAGTAATCTTATAATTATCAGCACTCATCCTCCTTCCTACCTGAAGCTATTTACGTTTTTAGTATGCTCCTTAATTTATTAGATTTCAGGAATGGATGATTTAACACTGATTTTTGTTTAAAGTTTTAAATTGTTTTTCCAGTATATTATGATGACTAGTTCATTGCAAAAGTGAGAAGAGCTAATGGTGTAGGATTTGAAAATACCCTATTGGGTATATTGAGTTCTTGTAATAAAATGTTTTTTTTAAAGTAATGCTTTCATATTTCATAGGTGAAAAAATGAGTTCTAGAAGATGCATGCTTCAGATTACAATATTATAGAATTATAAATTCCTAATATAAATAGTGTATGTAAACCCTTGCACATATGTATAAAACCAAATTCATTGAAATAGGCTGATACTTCTTTTTTCTCCCCTAGAATTTCTACAAAGAGATCGAAAGAGAAGAAATGTACATAAGGTTTGTAAATATGAACTTTATTCGGCATTATTTAAGAATAAATAAATACACAGTTTTACATATACACAAATGGAGCATAAACAGATCCTTTATTCATATATCTGCAAATACCTAATGGAATTCTAAATATTGATTAGAGTAGGATTGTGTGCAATATGGTTTCTATTATTATATCATTTAATTACATTTTAGACAGCATATTTAGAGGAGAAAGGTTTGCTTTCAGTCTTTTTCCTCAGCAGGTGTAATTTATTCATTTCTTCTTCTTCTTGTGCCATATCCGTTATCGGATGTTGGCGATCATGTTGGCAATCCTGTTTTTATCAGCAGCCGCACGAAAAAGTGCTGCTGAGTTTTGTCCAAACCAATCCCTTAGATTTTGAAGCCACGATGTTCTTCTTCTGCTTGGACCTCATTTGCCTTCAATCTTTCCCTGGAGGATTAAATGGAGTATGCCACATTTTTCTGGGTGTCGCATCACATGTCCGAAATATTCTAATTTTTGTTTTTTAATTGTTTTGATGATTTCCCTTGGCTTTCCTAGGCGGCTTATCACCTCCTCATTTCTGATCTTGTCAACCCAGCTTATACATAACAGCCGCCTGTAAATCCACATTTCAAATGCTTCTAGTCTCTTCAGGTGGCCTTCTGTCATTTAATTTTAATTCATTTAGTTTTTCCAAATATTAACATTTATTTCTGACAGAGTTACTGTGTACCTTTGCTCCCATCTCCGCCCACATGCTGCCGCCTTGCTCTTTTAACACTTCCCACTTCATTTGAACTATCAACATGTGATTAAGTTTTCTTTCTTCTAATGACTTTATGACTGGTATTTCTTTGCTACTTTCTGTGGTAGCAAGAGCTAATTTTTTTAGCTGCTGGTCCTTTCATTTGTTTTTGTTTATCACTGATTTAATTTGTTTCTTAACAGGGAAAGGGGGTGTTAATTATCAAGTACCTTTCTGCAGTGAGAAAAAATGCTCATTGCTTTTTATTATTATTTTTATTATCACAACTGCATACTGGCATTCTCCAGTGGATATTAAAAAACCTCTTTCCCCAGGTTATAATTCCAATTATCAAGAGATTTTAAAAGTACCATTTCATTATTTGATTTTGAGTAACTCTTTAATAATATGTGGAACCTCTTTGAGGAAGTATTTTTCCTCCATTCAAAGCTTTCATTTTGATCATTTACATCTCAAAATGTAGCCTATTCAGAATTACAGAAATTACAGAAATTTTCTGTAATTCTGTATGAGTGTACAGAGGACAAAGCTGCACATTATATAGGTTTCATTAGTTTAAAACTAGAGCCAAGATAGTGGATTTAGCACTTAATTACATCAGGAAGGTAGATTTTTTTCTTTCTTTCTATTAGTTATCTTGGTAACTTCTATTCCCATGACAATAAGTTGTTATTTTTAACATGCATTAGCATCATTAAGAATTTTTTCTTAAATGCGAATAGCTGCACTGGATAGAAATATGGAGTTGTATGACTTTCAAGTGGAGCTGAATAGAAAGTCTTAAAATTCCTCCCTCCGTGCTTTCGTACTCTTCCAATATTACAGTCACCATCAAGACTCTAATATAATATGCAATCATGCCCAGGTAGAAAGGTGTTATATATGTTTCTGAGATGTAAGTTCTCAGAAGTAAGTTAAATATGTATTTATTTTATATATTTATTACAAGAGCTTCTGTGGGGCTTCAACCTTCCGCAAGAGCCTGAAGACCTATCTCTGCCAATTGAGCTGGGGCCTCAATGAGGAGTACCATGCTGGAGGTGGTTGATGGACTAATAGTGGATCCCATTTTCCCCTGTGAATCTTGCTTCCTCCCCTCCCATATTTTAATTATAATTTTGTATCCTTATTGTTATGGTTTTACTGTATTTAATGTTATAAACCACCCAGAGTTGCCTTGCAGCAAGATGGGTGGCAAAAGAAAGAGAAAGAAAGAGAGAGACAGACAGACAGAAAGAAAGACAGACAGACAGACAGACAGACTCTGGTTTACATATAAAATGCATATGAAACTAAATAAAATTAAAATAAAGCAAAATTATCAACACTATCAAACATATGAATAACAATAATATACACTAAGACAACAATAGTAAATATTATCAGCATAAATATAGCAATAGCACTTAGACTTATATACCACTTCTCTGAGTGGTTTACAAATGTCAAGCACATTGCCCCCAACAATCTGGGTCCTCATTTTACCGAACTTGAAAGCATGGAAGGTTGATATTGTATGCCTTTTCAGAATATCAGTGTTTAAAAAACTATGAATCTTTTAACCGTAGAAAATATAACTTTATGAAATGCATTATTCATATAATTGCTGACTTCTTTTGTACACCAGATACTAAATATTATTTTATTTGAGATATGAGATAAAAAAATCGTATTAATTTTAATTTATATTTTGGCATTTGGCATTTATGGTATCTTCAACTATAATTATTTTGTAATATTGTTGAAAATTATATTTTTTACTTTAGGTATTTGTACAAACTTTGTGACCTGCACAAAGAATGTGATAACTACACTGAAGCTGCCTACACATTACTTCTTCATGCAAAGCTTCTTAAGGTATATATATTTCAAATGTTTTTAATCTTGAAGCCTTAGAATTTAAGATGCAAAATTTCTCCAGAAATAAACAATACCTACATACAAAATACACTGAATATTTTATAAGAATGAAACAGAAAGCTAGGGTATAGAATTGTTACTGCTTGAAACTTAGTTTAAGGTGAATCACCCAAGGACCTATGGTGGAAGCAAAAGCAAAGTAACCCATAACATTTACAGCAAATGCCAGTACAGATTGTTAACCAAGATGCAATTTATCATCTGTCCTGGATTCAGTATGGGGCACGTTTCAACATACTTGTTAGTGTGGCCTTAACGATGCCTTGCTTTTTCCAAGATTTGCATGGTAGCTATGTAGAAAATATGTGTTTGAATTAAGGAGATGTGACATGATGCAACCATATGTCACTGCTCTGTTGATGCCTTCTTAACACATATTTTTCTGTTAATGCCTTCTTAACACATGTTTTTCTGAATCAAGGGGCTACCATGCGAGCCCGGGAAAAGTCAAGACTTCTTTGAGGATAGGCTGACAAATTCAGCAAACAGCCATGCTAGATCTGAAACATCTTTCCTACTTTGGATCCAAATATTGCAAGTAAAATATTGAAACTTATAACCAATATTCCCAGTTTATCTTTGTTGACTGGTACCTGCTTTGTTTTCTTCCCCCAATTATTTTTTTCTTTGAGTAGCAGATTTTTTTAGCACTGCAGGATGACTGGTTACAACTTTTCACATTCTCCAAACACCTTAGTTTTTGAATAATATGGATACTTCAAAATATGAGAAAACATGAATATCTCTTGATATCTGCCTTGAAATATCTTTAAATGTAACTTGGTAGAAAAAGGAATCATAATAGTTTTCCCGTTTCTATAACGATCAAGGAGATGAATTAGATAAGTCTTTGTAATGTGATAGTTGTATTCTTGCAATTTGTCCTTCCAACCCTTTATAATTACTTTACAGTGCTATTAAGTTATCAATTGAATGTTTCTAAAAATGTTTATACTGTATGTGTAGATAAAAAACCCAATATTTTAATAATTGTACTTCATAGTAAGATTAACTTAGATATCTATACACACACACACCATTTTAGAAGATAATGAAATGTTCTCTATTTCAAATACATCTTCATTTTTTTGGGTCTGGTGCGTATGTGTGTGTGTGTGTATAGATATTTTATAATATGCTAACTAACCCTTTGGGTAAATTAGTACGTGATAAAAAAACTTACTTTT